ATGTACTAAAAACTTCATCACTTCAAATAGATGTAATTGTTCGAATCCAAAATTGTGGAGCTTTGTGGAAATGTAACTGTTTAAATGAAAATAAGAATACATTGATATGTACCTGAGCTGTAGAGCCTCGTGGTCACCCTCTAGGCATCTTAACCGATTGAAGCGTCCCTTGAGCTGTAGAGACGCATGGTCGCCCTCTAGGTCTCTTCTGATTGAAGTGTACACTGTAGAGAGGCGTGGTCGCCCTTTCGATCTCTTAACTGAACACCCAATGTTTGTTACATGTGGCTTTTTGAGAATATATCTGCTGTGACAATGCATGATTAGATGATTAAAGCAGTGAAGTGAATTTCAACCAGATATGAAATATATGTATATATGGAATCACCAGAATGATTTAATTCATATTTAGTGCCTAAGTTTTCTGGTATGTACTATAATCCACATGTAATATTTGTTAAAAATCACAATCTTTAAGTTCTAGAGTGCAAAGGAAGTCTAAACTTAGCAGACCTAGAGAGAATTTGAAGGGGGATGACTATTCTTCCAGTGTAAAGTCTATCAAATTGATACGGTAGGTGGTCCTTGGTTCATGTGTGATGTGTTGTTTTGTAAAACAGATAATGTCACTTCGGAGTTCTCTCCATTTTTTAGTCTATCAGAATGGAAAGAAATGCTTTATATTCAAGCCCCATTAAACACTTCCCTTAACTAGAAATTTTTTTATTCTTTAGTTTGATAGCTTTTAGTATAACAAAGATCCATATGACGTGCTTAGGATTTTATGCTAAGTGGTAGTTGAAGTATTATCCTCGTGCTGAAATTTTCTAGGTTGTATTCAAGTCTTTTAAACACTTTCCTTAACTCTCTCTTTCCGTCTCTCTCTGTGTGTGTCTGTGTATACATATGCCACTTCATTGAATTTTAGGTGGATGGATAATTGAGCAAAAAGATAAAGAGGAGAAGGTGACAGAAGAAAATGTGCAATGGTTGTGATAGACGGCGAAGGAGTGGAAATGTTGGTTCATCTATTTGGAGAATAAGTGGGAGAACAAAAAGAAATGGAACCAAACGGAAATGTGAAGGACTGGAATAAATAAATGATTCTTCGCAGCAGCTACAGTTTACCTTATTGACATAGTGGACTAGAAAGAGACTAGCAGGTGCTGTTATGCTTAATTGCTCTGAACTTTGAAGTACTCTGACGGAATTCTTTATTGATTATGGGACATCTATTATCTCAATCAAGTTGAACAAGTGCGACTACCATTATAGAGATGGTCTTTAATTGAGATAATTGTGATCATACAAAAACTTGTAACTAACGTGGTTAATACTTGGCTAATAAAGCGTAATCAATGAATTGTCAAAACAATACATACAAATAGTGAAATCAAAGGGATAGAAATTGCAGTTCAAAGAGAAAATATTTGTCGCTTTCATCAATCATTGCTTTTGTAAACATGGTTAGTCGTGAAAATCTAAACCGCTAATTTCTTTTGGTGACCAAGTCTGATCATAAAGCTTCAACTGGAATACTTCCTGTTGAGGATACTAATATTATTATCCCAAACTATTAGGTAGGTGTATTTTTTGATTTTATTACAGAAAGTTATTTATAAATGTATGTGCTTTGAGTATCTTGTAAGTTTATTATGTTTGGATACATGATTAAACAACAATAACAACAATAACAACAACTAAGCCTTAGTCCCAAATAACTAGGGGTTAGTTATATGAATCATCACTGACTGTGTTTCTCCATTTAAATTCATCTCAGGCCTTTATATGCATGATTAAATAGAATAAATTTACGGTAAGATCAATATTATCTCTATGTTAATACTTTGATACATTTATTCAATTTTCATAGAAAAGGTGTACAAAGAATCCTTCTTAAGGGATGTGTTGAATATATATAGAAGGTTTGCATATGATCTCATGTAGAAGGGAAATATTTCCACTTGGCTATGTAAAGAATTCCAATATTAGGAAGTATTGTAATTATAAAAGGCACTATTTCCATATGAATTATGGAACCCGACACTAAAATTTAAAATATAAATTAGAAAGTTCTTCTATTACATGGTACAAATGCCTGTGTGTAGCTTTTGTCTTAAACTATGAACATCTTCTACTAGTGTCTAATATCAATTACTCCCTCTATCCCAATTTATGTGACATCGTTCGGATTTCGGAAGTCATACTTCTTAATTTTGACCATGAATTTGAACATAGATCGTTCAGTTTTATGCAATAAAATTTACATGTTTGGAAACTATGTAGAAAGTATTATAAGTCACAATAATTAACAATTTAAAATATTTAAAAGGTATATGAAATATCACGGCCAAAGAAAAACTCGTTTAACTCTCGAAATCCGAATGGTGCAACATAAATTGGGACTGGGGGAGTATATTACTATATTACTACTAGATAAGTGAGTTTCTCCGACACGACAATTTAGGTGCCACGCCCATGTCGACACGATACTAGTGTGGGTATGGGATCCGTATCGGATCTGGTCAAACGAGATACAATTTGATTCCTGAAATCAGAACCAAAACTAGAGTAAATTTGAAGAAAATAGCATACCTTATCTAGAAAATCAATCCCTTACTTTCTGCTTCTCCTCTTGATCGAGCAGAAAGAGCAGCAAAAAGTGTCAATTGAGATTGGGGAAGACACAGCGTTCGACAATTTGGGAAAGTGCAAGACCTTTGACTTTATTTGGATATTATTAATATTTAATAATATTGTACCCTTTGTAGTGAGCTTGACACACACTGTCTGATTTTATAATGATAATTAGAGAACAATCCAAATTATGAAAATTAATATTTAATTGTAAACGAAAGATAACAATAAAAAAGTTAACTTGTAGGAGAATCCGAAAAGGCCAAAATCAATAAATCATGCCTACAACGTGAAAAAATATCCACACTTCATAAGCTATAGCTAAGTATTCCACAATTTTCTTATAATTTAGAGATTTTTTCATTTTTTATTTTTTGAATTATTTTTAGCCGGATCCCTGCACCTGTAACCTACTAGGATCCGCATCCTCGAATCTTAGAATTTACATCTCAAATGATCCAACCTCTAGATCGGCATCGGTGTTGGACACCCGCACCCGTGTCCGAGCAACTTAGCTGGATAATCATAGTCGAGAAGATTCTTAGATCATATATGGGGCCTTCCTTTCTGGAATGAGAAGCTCACAAGTATTAATTCATCATAATCAAATAGGAAACTTCAATCTTCTAATTACTTTGTTCGAAATTATAAAAGTTTTATTCAGGAGTTACATTTTGAGAAACTCTTGTTCCAAAACTCGACATGGAAACCTTTTGGGTTCATTATTTATTACTCCATCTATTACTTTACTTCAAATATATTCTTGTAAAAATAATTTGAAAATCATTTTCTCTATTTTTGGATGTATTTTTCTTCAACATTTACCTGTTCTAGTCGAAGTAAGACAATAAACATGGGATAGGAAGGGTATGAATCTTGTTGTTGATGCTGATAAGTATCCTAGTTAGAGGAATAGGTTTTGACGATCAAAAGCTAACATTTTGGTATTATGAATGTGCCTTTTAGCTAAGGTTTGTGCTGTACCATTTATGCTGCACATAGTTGTAACATCACACGGTATAGCCAATGGAGGTGAAAAGATGAAAACAGGTTTGCAGGTAAGAGAAGGAAACTTATCTGAAAGCCAGCTACCTGGATTAAGTGTTTTACTTATGAAGCCTAAGTTGCAAGGTTTTACTTATATTAACCTATCATTTAAATTCTGCCACTTTCCACCTTCCTTTACAAGGGAAAAATCTTTTCACCCGTTTTGCTCCTCTCTTTTCGTCTCAAGCTATTTNGATTCTATCTTACAGACTGAGCAGCAACTGCGATGTTACCTGCTCTCAAGGAACTTACATGACTCGCTATTGGGTCATGAACTGAGGGTTTATAATATTTTCTGGCGTTTCCAGAATTGACATGGGTTTCAATAATTGAACTCATTCCCTCTATGTTTGCTGTGCTACCAGTTGGCTAGATATTGTGATACGAGTTTTTTAATGTATTGAAGATTGTTAACTGTCATCTACGTCACATTAAATTTTGGGACTCCGCTACTAATCAAGTGTATACATCTTATCTGAAGTGTGCCATATTGTATTTTCTGGTGCATTACAGAAAAGCTCAATGCTAATAATCTTCTCAGATCCTTAATTGCCTCTGGATTTAAAACAGATTGAAGGTAACTTTTGAAATTTACATTGCTGTCAAATATTTAGTGCTTGAGGATAACTTATCCTAAAACTGAAATACCTATCTCTTTGGTAGAAAACTTTCTTCCCTCTATACCAAAAAAAAGACTTTATCTTCTCGTAGTGGCAGCCTTTTAGGGAAATATTCAATGAAGTAATGAATGTCAAAGCACATATAACATAAATAACACCAGCATAAGATGAAAATGGTTGCAATAGCAGCCAACACAACTAGCTGTGGCTCTTCACAATCTAGAAACTAGATGATCGACTTATTGACATACCCTTACTCTGGTCCCTGTATGATGTAGAGAGACTTTATTTTCTTGTATCCTTGATTTTCCCCCAATTTTTGAAGAACTCTCATTTTGTATGGCCACATGGTCTAGTATATAATTGTTAATCCTGAGAAGAAAATATAATGCAAACAAGCATCCTTGTAATGAAATATAGATTGAGGATAAATACACCTAGAGGCGAAAGGATGTATTTCTTCCATGGAATCCATCCAAATCAACATGCTTGTGGGTAAGAACTAAGAACATTAATGACGAACATCAAATTCGACAGATTAAAAATTACTATATAACACATTGGAAATTTGGTTGGTCCAAAAACCCATGTTTCTATTTTATTTTCTTATTTTTGTTTCTATAAATTGTGCAAACCAGATGATAAGAGTTCGTTTTGCATGCCAAGTTAAAGTATTTGCATGCATGTATTGAACACTTACAGAGATGAATTCTCATTACGAAAATTTGATGAGCAAGAACCGTTATTTTCTGCTGTAGTGAATTGAGGCTTTGAGTCTTCTCTAGCAGTACTTGGTGATATGAGCAGCATTGCTCCGTTACCAATCTCATCTGGAGGAATACTTTTGCTCTTTTGGTAGATTAGAATCTCTTCTTCATTTGCAGATGTATTGGCAAACTCTGGTTCTTGTAGCATGTGGTAAAGTTGCCTATGAAGTCTTTCGACAGGTGACAAAATATATTGTTTAAGCTTTGATCTCTTTCTTCTCGGAACACTGTTAGGATTCCAGAGAGGACCTTTGGCTGCTTCTCCTGACAAAAGGTGAACAATAACAATCAAACATCAATGATATTTTCATAATTGGAAGTCCAAAATTACATTGGATTTTTGACAATATTAATTTATCAAATCAAAGAAAATTTGAAGCTTAGTGGAATAGTTTCTAGCCTATGAGAAGTAATAACAAAAACACATTTTGATAGTTTATAAAGCAATGTTTAACGATTGCACTTCTATTGCTTATTAAGAGCCCTAATGTGATTGAACATTTCATTTGACCATAGATATAAAAATCACAGTAAGGGTAAATAATACGACTTCCTGCATAATATAAATTGTGTCAGCCAGAGTGAACCTGATTCTTTAAAACAAAAAATGTATATAGAATTGGACTGAATCAATTTAACCGGATCGGTTGAACCCTAAAACTGGGTTATCTGGTATTTCTGTTTACTTGTTTAACTGTTCAAACCTATCTGAGATTTAGACTATATGTTGTATATTCTGAATAAAATAAGATCTGTTTTGATTATACATAGTCGTACAATTTGGTTCAGTTAACATGCGTCTGATAATGAAGATAAGATTTGGATGTTATGTCTTAGGCCTGCAACTCTGTGCTCCTAAAGTCAAGAGTGACTAATAATATGATTTTCTAGGCCAAAGTGTGATGAATGGATAGTTTTAAGACATCTAATTTAGCTCTGAGGGGATTTGACAAGCTGATTTCTGTTGCCAAAGTGTTTTGCCTTCTCTCTGTCTTTAGCGTTTAACATCAGCATAGTATCGATGAAGCGAAACATCTAAGTTTCACTTCTCCGATTGGAAGTGCAGTTACTTCTTATCCTCTCTTCATAATGTGATACCTAATCATTTGCTGCTCTTCCGTCCTTTGGCACTCTAAACTCTAAAGCAAATCTTTATAGTTCAAAAGAGTATGACAAGGTGAAACTTGAGAGAATGTATCATTTAGCCTTATAGTCTACTACTCAACTTTGCTACTGGTTCCATAGCAAATAACCTATTGAATTATAAGAGGCTGGTCTGCTTCACATCATATTCAAAAGGTGGGAACCATTTCTACTTGCTGCACATGCAAATACCGAAATTTTGCATAACGCTGGGTAATTTTATGAAGGGATTCTCAACAGAGGGCGACCATGAGACCCCATGTTCCCTTTTGCTCACAGTGAAAGATCTGACTTGTCCTTTAAGGGGATCAGTTCAGTTTGTTGGAGCATTTTTGCTCAGTTACAAGAAAGCATAAGTAATTGTCCTTAGGCCGACAGTTCAAAGTTCTCCCATCATGAGTGCCAGGCAGTTACATGTATGACTCCTCACTTCGTCAAAAGTTATATATTAAGAATCGCTATCCTTTTTATTAAAGGTTAATGCTAATAATGAGTGGAAGCAAGAACAGAAAGAAAAAAAGAGAGAAGAAGGGAAAAGAAAGACTGTTTATACTAGTGTTTCCTGAACAATCTAAATGAACTGACATAGAGATTAAATAATTACGCGGATGAGTATTACATTCCATGTGTTATCTAAGGAGAAGGGAAACGTAAAAATTGGCCACAAGTTTAAGCAGCACAGTATGAAAGTAAAGGGAGTTTTTTAAAGTTTAATTGGCCAAACATCAACGAGAACTGTTGGTATAAAGTACATTGTAGGAGTAAAATTTTGTATTTTATGTACTCACGGGAATCCTAAAATTTAAATGACTAGTTGAAGATTGGTAGCTTGCCAATGGAAGCTTCTATTCCCACTGTCACTGCTGTTGGGTTTGAGATTCTTTCCCTTCTTTTCTATTTTATTTTAAGTTTTGTGTGTGTATGTATATCTGTTTATGTACCACTANGGGAGGGGTAGGGGGTTGAAGACCAAAAACTGCAGGGATCATCAAGATGCTTCTCAAAAATTTAGCTTTCCTGATTTCACATATCCCAAAATTTTCCTTAAGCTATACTATAAAAACAAGTGCCGCAAAATGTGTTAAGTAGTTAATCATGTATAGTGTCCCACATCGGGAAGTAGATCCCTATTATTATGTAATCACTATATACAAATAGGGTTGTACAACACTTTAATTAAGCAATAGGATTTTCTCCCATGCTTTCTCACATGGTATCAGAGCATGTGAGATAATTATCGTTGTGCGTCATTCCAACGACAGCCGGAAAGAAATCAGTCGTCACCGTGCAATTTTCCGGTGACCTGAGAAGCTGTTTGCGTCAAAACCACTTTTTATCTATGTTGTGCATAAACCAACGCCACTATAGTGTTCTCCATCCCCGGGAGACCAGACCCCACAAAACCCACCAGAAAACACCTCCCCACGCGCCCTCATGCACTAGTCAAAGAAAAAATATTCTGGCGAGATCTGGCGCGTGGAGCCCTTTCCGGCAACTATTTGAAAAAATTTCTTTAGGACAGCTTGCTCGCAAGGGAATTCCGAGCCTACCCATCCAGATTACACTAAATTCCGACGACTTTTTTATTTTTTCGGCGTGAACAGTAATTCCCAGAAAAATTTTGCTTTTTTGGCGCAACGTTATAATGGCATTCGTATTAGAAGCCTTTAACTCACAATCCGTTGGATCCAATTCATTGAATCCAATCCAGATGTTTTCTTTATTGGATTATATTGGTTCCTTCAGTACAAAGTGTGTAAACAAACATCTTCAGGGATAACTTCTGTTGTTCAAACAGATAGTAGCGTGACTTATGTCTCCCAATCTTCAACCTCTGAGTCTTGGATCATTGATTCAGGTGCATCTGATCATATTTCTGGCAACAAATCTCTTTTCACTACTATTTCATATTCTCAATCTCTTCCAATAGTCACAATGGCCAACGAATCTCAAACTATGGCAACTGGAATAGGTCAAGCAAGCCCACTTCCTTCTTTACTTTTAGATTCAGTTCTTTATGTTCCAAATAATCCTTTTAATCTCATAGCCGTTTGCTTAGCCAAATCACTTAAAGACTTTGTTTTATTTCTTGATGACCTTGTTTTTATATATGAACGCAGTACGGGGCGGATCATTGGTACCAGGCATGAATCAGATGCACTTTATTACCTTATCCTTGCAAAATCATATGGACTCACATCTTGTCTTCCTTCAATAACTTGTCTTGTTACCAATTCACCAGATTTATTACATAAACGGTTGGGACATCCCAGTTTGTCAAAACTTCAGAAAATGGTACCTAGTTTATCTCACTTGTCCACTTTAGAGTGTGAGTCATGTCAGCTCGGTAAGCATACCCGCTCCCATTTCCCTCGGCGTCTCGATAATTGAGCAGAATCGCCTTTCAATTTAGTCCATTCAGATGTTTGGGGTCCTAGTCGGGTCAGTTCTACCTTGGGATTCCGCTACTTTGTCAGTTTCATTGATTTTGAATTTCAGCGTGAAATTCCGAATGCTAAGCTTCTGCCTGAATAGGGGGAGTCTCTTAGAGATCCTACGAGATATAGGAGGTTGGTCGGCAAATTTAATTACCTCACAATGACTAGACCTGACATTTCTTTTCTGGTGAGTATTGTAAGTCACTTTATGAATTCTCCCTGTGATAGTCACTGGATGCAGTTGTTCGCATTCTTCGGTATATAAAGTTAGCTCCAAGCAAAGGGTTACTATTCGAGGATCGAGGCCACGAGTAGATTGTTAGGTACACAGATGCTGATTGGGCAGGATCACCTGCTGATAGCCGTTCTACATTTGGATATTGTATTCTAGTAGGAGGTAATTTGGTCTCTTGGAAGAGCAAGAAACAGAATGTAGTTGCTCGATCTAGCGCCGAAGCCGAATATCGGGCCATGGCTATGACAACGTGTGAGCTAGTTTGGGTCAAGCAGTTGCTCAAGGAGTTGAAGTTCGGAGAAATCAGCAAGATGGAACTGGTGTGTGATAATCAAGCTGCTCTTCATATTGCGTCAAATCCGGTGTTCCATGAGAGGACTAAACACATTGAGATCGACTGTCACTTTGTCAGAGAAAAGATACTCTCAGGAGATATTGTTACAAAGTTTGTAAAATCGAATAATCAGCTAGCAGATATTTTCACTAAGTCTCTTACTGGTTCTCGTATTAGTTACATCTGTATCAAGCTCGGTACATATGATTTATATGCACCGGCTTGAGGGGGAGTGTTAAGTAGTTAGTCATGTATAGTGTCCCACATCGGGAAGTAAATACCTATTATTATGTAATCACCCTATATAAATAGGGTTGTACAACACTTTAATTAAGCAATAAGATTTTCTCCCGTGCTTTCTCACAAAATGAATAAGGAGCGACTATCTGTGCTAACAAATGGAAGACAATTGACCAGATTGAAAGGGGAGTAATTATCTTCGTACATTTTACTTAAACCCCTCAGTTTAGTCTGGGCACGATTCAAAGCATGCTTATTAATTAGATAAAGAAGTCAAGCGCCATGGACATATAACTAACTATTTTACCACTTGTATGGAAATACAACTGAATTATTTTACCATTTGTTCCTTGCATCTGCATGCAGTTCTCTGAGAAAGATCCTGGTGACCCTGAGCTTGATATGTCATCTATTTTCTCTTCACTACAAGCTGAAGAGCCATCAGTTCCAGCAACCTTTTGTCCAACTTCTAGCCTTTGGTTATCATGAGCCAAGACAAGTGGCTTCACATCAGAAGGTAACTTGGCTAGTAGAAAGCTTTGAGTTTCTTTGTTGGCATGTTTTGGGATATAGTCGTCCAGACTCCCCTTAATCCTCCATCTTGATCCACAAGCATTGCACAGCACTGGTTTTTCAGGTGGTCCAGGTCTCCAAAGTGGGGTATCTGTTTAAGTTCACAGTTCATCAGTGCTGCAACTATGAAACAACTATTAAAGGAATTCTGTACAGCTGATGAAGTTGTCCCAGAAACTGCTCAAGCATAGAATAATTGAAAACAACTATGAACATTGAGCAATAAATAGAAGTATTATGAAACTAAAGCTACAGTGACTTTTTGGCAAAACCAGTGGAAAGTGCATCCATGTAAGATATGCCTCGGCTTTTAAGAATGTGTAAAAGAAAGTTTGTCATTTGCATTTTCTTCACCAGTTAAAGGACCCATACAAATTGAGGTAAACGGTGGTCGACAAATGATTAAATGAATATGGATCATGAAGTAAAATGAGCAAAGATAATATGTCTTGTTCAAATCAGGAAATATCAGAAATTTGCTCTGTAAAAAAGCTCATGGATTGACGCTTCACGGCCGTCATTGACTGTCCACTTTGTCCTGATTAACTGTGAAGATATTTTTCAGACTGCCGGCTTTGTCCTAATTAACTGTGAAGATAGGATGCCTTACACTCATCATAAACAGGCTCGCAGATTGAGGCTTCACAGCCTTCTTGTCCATCAAATACTGTATCCAAACAAGCAGGATGACATAACCTTCTTCTACATAAGTGTTAGAGATATTCGTAGAATCTTGGACTAACTTTGGAGGGAGAGCAAGAAAAGATCGCTATGCAATCTGGATATCGCAAATTATCGAGAAAGACTATACTTGTTTGAACTTTGAAGTATTTTATTGGCTTTATGTATTGCTCTTCCTTACATCATGGGGGCGATCTCTATTTCTATTACGAATCTGTTTCTTTTATATGTGTTACTAGTTATGTGTTTGCTTCAGGAGGCCAGTATTTTGACTGCACTCTATATCGAGAACACAGGCGTTATAGTGGGTAATTCTTACTTTCTGCATTTTAAATTTTCCCTCTTGGCCATCCAACTTATGTCACTAGAGATTCTAGCCTACTGCCTTGGTTTAGTTCATGTCATATAACATGGCTTTCTGAAAATGTTTAGTGTCAAATCATTCATTGGCTAATCAAATTTGGTTGCTCAAAGAGAAATTTTAAGGAAGAGCTATGGAACCAGTTTTGCAACTGCACTTTATTGCCTGGTATCTCTTAGGATTTTGTGTATAAAGCATGAAACAAGCTGTCAATGTAGGGCAAAGCTACTGGCGAGGTGGCACTTTGATTTCACCTCTTACCTCTAATGATACAAGTTCTTATGATTTCACTACCTGCAGGATTCCTAAGGGACCTATCAGAAGACCACATGTTCAAAGGTAATAAAACTATGTAATCAATGTCAATCTGGTATCAGTTTGGTCCCTTTCCATCCTTTTCGTTTTGGGAAAAACTAATATATTTCCAGATATATGCCTAGGTTTTGTTAATCAAAACCACTGGACAAAGCCATACAGTTATATCAACAAAGACTTATTACTGTAGGAACATCAAAAGCTGGTTAAAATGCCGATGCACTCTCCAACCCTGATCAGTGAGCATTTGGTAATTACACTTTACTCTTCACACTTCTTATACTGTGGTCTTTAGGTTTTAAATATTGACTGAGGGCATTATTGTGAAGTTATTTGTCAATAAACAATAGCATGAAAACGGCATGTGCACATCCAGTACCTTTCTCCTCTGTGTCATCTGGCATTCTCGTTTTATTTTCTGTTAGGCAAGACACCGAAATTGCTACAATTAAGACTTAAGGATCATTGCCAAAATTTTAAATAAATGGGAATTAAATTGTGTGATGCCTATGATTTGGGACCGACTGTGCAATTATCCTAGATGAATTCACTGCACATGAAACTAATGGTTGCTGTATCTGAAATCAACTGCTATTTGGGTGGAGAGGTAACAAAGTTAACGAAGTTCCATTTTATTCATTTAAACAGATAAATCGTTTTAGGAAATTCTAAATATCGGGTGTCTCATGCATGCAAGTTTTAAATTTCAGTAAGATTGGAGAGCAAAATTAAGCGTTTGGAATTCTGTATCTTGACGATTGATATCAACAAGAAACATTCAATTGAAGAACGAGATGGAAGATAAACATGCAAGATGTGATAAAGGTTGTCAAAAGAACTCACGCCTGACACCACAATGGAAACACGGCCCTTCTCTTCCCATGAGATGTGCTTGCAGAGGATTCAGGTTTGAGTATGCTAGCTGCTAACCGTTAAGCTTCCAAAATTGTTGCCAAAACTTAAAACATATGAGTGAGAACACAAAGTAACCAAATGGAAAAATGAACGGAAAATAAATTCAGTAGGCTAACAGCTGATCATTTCCGTGGCAATAGATTATAGCTTTGTCATTAACTACTATCCTATCTGTAATAGTACTATACTCCACTTTGGACAGCTCATCAAATTTTACTCGAGAACATTTTCTCAAAAATTGACACGATAACTCCAACAGGAAGAACTTAAAAGATCTTTGATGTGGTAAATCTTACCAATTAGGCCTTTTGTCAAGCACTCTAGCCTTATTACCGATGAATGTGAAGGCAAGAAAATATAGAAAGTTTTTAGACTTTATTGAAATGATAGAGTTGAGGAATAAACAGAAGCGAAAAGACAATGCTGAGCTTAGTATTCTGGAAATTCTGGTCTGATTGAGATTTGAAAAATCCAAGGAGAAAGGGCCACAATTTACATTACTAAACAGATTCAGAAAAGAAAGAATGTATTCAATTTCATTCCAATTCTTGAAATTGTAGGAATCAGATTTAGATTTGAAAAATCCAAGGAGAAAGGCCCACTATTACATCACTAAGCAGATTCAGAAATGCATTCAATTTCTTTCCAATTCTGCTTTTCTGCACTGTTTCCCTTGCACCAATACACAGGTTGAAAAAACTTTCTGCCTAGTGTTGTGATTGGTGTGGTTGAGAGTACTGCAGGTGAGAAGAGAAACTGGATACAGGTCACAGAGACTTGGATATACATTCATAATTGGTAACAAAACCTCATTTCTTGAAGCACATTCAGAAAACATAAATATAAGCACTGAGCTGGTTTTTTCCATGTTAATTTTCAGAAAATTTAATTGCTGATACTTTTGGGTCATGTTCACCTCAGCTATCTGCAGTTTGCAAAAACTCAAGTGTCTTAGTGACTTCCTGACCTTGAAGGTTCTCTCTTCTGCTTGCCATTTTTGTTGTTAATTTAAGAGGAACTTACTACAACTTCTGATGTCCCAAGAAGTGCTTTTGCAATCTTTTTCCATAACACGATATGACTTATGTGCGCAAGAATGCCCCTGCTATTTAATTACGGATCTATGATTAGTTCAACACAGTCTTGTATGTCGCCGTTTTTGAAATTTCATGTGTCTAGCATATTCATGTTATTAATGTTGTTTCTCTAACTTGCTTACAGAAATAAAAATATTTATTTCAGAAATGCATTGCATATCCATGCTATACAGAGAAATGAGAATATTGATATTTTTGCCTGCTCATTTGGTGTAGCATGATCCTATATAGAATCTTTAGGTGAGGCACTTCCAAAATTTTGATATATTTTGGTAATAGCCTCCGCTGCATGTATGGAGAAACTTAAGTCTTGTGGTTCTTAACAATTTAGGCTACTATCTCAGAAGTTAAGAAGCTTTTTGGTGTCGTTCATCCTTGGTAGCAAAAATGTGTTTGTCCTTGTTTGCCTGATTTAGAAAATTTAGGATTCAGGCGAATAACTGCCTGAAGTGTATGCTGTAGGCCTGGCCTACTACAACTTTGTAGCTACAAATTCAATGTGGTGTACGTGGGGCAGTTAAGAATGACTATTCCATTGAGTATGATTTGAAGTAACTCCAATGCGAAGGTGCGACACTGAGGAAATTTTATCATCGATGTTGTTATGTGTTATCCAGATGTCTTTCTTATGGTGCTTACTCTATATTTCATCATATGCTTATGCAATGTGGATTTGCAGCGTTTATCGAAGTTCCTCTTCACATTCTCCATCAGGTTCTTGCCCAGCTTCAAGATAGTGTATTTTCCAGAAGTAATACAAGTGTGCTTCTCAGAATCACAGGCTCACCAGTATCATGCAACATCCTTGGTATCATTGGCCCCTGCTCTAATTGAAGTAAAAAAGGGCAGCCCGGTGCATTAAGTTCCCGCTATGCGCGGGGTCCGGGGAAGGGCCAAACCACAAGGGTCTATTGTATACAGAGGCGGAGCCAGGATTTGAAATTTATGGGTTCGGGATTCTAGTTCTTTTAAATTACTGGATTCTATAATAATAATTTATAAGCAGAAGGCTAGCTCCGCCCCTGATTGTACACAGCCTTACCCTACATTTCTGCAAGAGGTTGTTTCTATGGTTCGAACTAGTGACCTCTTGGTCACATGGCAACAACTTTACCAGTTACGCCAAGGCTTCCCTTCCCTGCTCTAATTGAAGTGGTTGATGATTTTACTTGTTTTGTTGAATGGGCACATATATTCATTCTACAAGAAACAAAAGGTACATATCCTTTGTAAAATTGCACTACAAGAGTAGGCTTTAGGCTTTAGAGGATGTCCAGTATTTCTAGCTTGTAACATGCTTTGCTGCTAGAAGAAGACACAACTTAATAGTTTCACTTAGAATTGAAGCTTAAATTATTATCACTAAGAGCTGCTTCGTATAAATTCTAGTAATTAGTACGTGTAACAAGTAGCACTTTATTGGTCCTCAAGNATATATATATTGATGTTCACTATCACGTGTTTTTATTTGGATGTTTTTCCTTGCTAAATTAGCCAATAGATTTATCTTTGAATTATCTGGAGTAATTGATGAAACCATGACGTCTCTAAAATCACCTTTTGGAAGACAAATTAGCGATGCCAAAAATTATGTTTGTACTTAATTGAATGCTAAATAAACAATTATTTGCCGAGGAACTAGCAACCAACTACCAAAAAAGGGGCAAAAAGTAAAATAAAAAGCGTCAAACTCATAAAATAAATATGGCAAATAAAAAACAACAGACTGAAATTATACGAAAAACGTGGAGAACTTAAAGCTTCAATTTCATGCTGCATCAAATTACTTTACTGTATCAATACAATATCAAATATATTTTGAAGATAGTAGTATGAAAAGGAAAAAAAAAAAAAAAGGAAGGCAAAGCCAAGTCGATATTTTGATTATCTTTCAGTAACAAAACATATTTTTAACTTGAAATTCGGCAATACATCATATTGTACTTCAGGGACCCCTCTTTCAATATCTTTGTTATACAATTAGCTTTTAAATAACTATTGGTCGTGCATTAAAAATTACTAAAATTTATTCAAAATGATGAATAATAATATTTAAGTCCTCAGAGTTTTCTTAATTTTGATTATTAAGTAACACCGGTGCATTTTTTTTCCTTTGTTTTGTTTTTAGCTCCTCTATTTCCTCATTAGCCTTTTTTTTTTTAAAAAAAAAAATGGTGATTGGTGGGCATTAATTCCAACTTCTCTTAATCCATTCAAGAAAAAAAGGGAAGAAAATTGAGCATTATGTGTAGCTTCAAGGTTCCAAGCTATAAGTTCAAGTAAGCAAAAAAAAGGAAGAAAAACAAACTTTTTTCCAACAGTCAAGAAAAAGAGCAAAATATAACGTCGCCCACCGTGGGGCTCGAACCCACGACCACAAGGTTAAGAGCCTTGCGCTCTACCAACTGAGCTAGACGGGCTTTCTGTCACCTTGAAGGAATATGTGATAGTTTATACATTAAGATGATTTTTAACTTGGCCGAATTCACTGTATTTATTTCTTTTTTTCAGCGTTTACTCAGATCAAAATAAAAGGGCAGTTTTAGGCATGTGTTTTGCTTCACAGTAGTTCAACTTTAAGAGGGTGTTTGGAATGGATTGGCTTAAAAGATGGTCAAATCAACTTTAAAATATTAATTTTTTAACTTGTTTGAGTGTTTGGTAATTTTAAAAATAGTTTTTAAGCCAAGTGCTTTTACGTTAAAATAATCAAAACAAGCCAAATGCAATAAATTGGCCTATCCCAACTTATTCGTGAATAGTCTGTAGTAGGGGTGTACATAGGTCGAGTTGGTTCTGATTTTACAATTACCAAACCAAACCAATTGTGTCGGGTTATTAAATCTAAGGACCAAGCCAAAAAAATGAAACTCAGGTTTTTTAATCTTGGGTTTTCTCGGGTTTTCAGGTTATACGGGTTTTCTCGGGAATCTTCGTAGAACAAAACATATAACGTATGCTCAAAATATTTCTTTAATTCTAGTAAGATACAACTATATAAAGTATTTTCCAAGAAAATAATATAAAATATGAGACGTGTCATGGCGTTATCCTAAAATATTCAACAATAAAGATAATAAAATTATGTAATATAAATATTGCTAATTAAAAAGCTATAATAAACATAAATATAATCTAAAAGTACTAAGTCATGTTAAAATAAATAGACTAATAAAGGAGTATTAATTACATGACTAAACGCAAAAGAAAAATAAAAATAGGTTATGCATTTCTATCTAATTATTGCAAAATAAAAAATAGATATTCAATACATCCTCGTTCGTAATATTGAATTGAATGTCTTTTGTTAGCACTAATATTGATTTGATTTTGGTTTGGGATATTGTTAGCATTATTTAATTTACTAATATTAATGGCTATAAAACTTATTG